CGCCCCGGCGGGCGGTAACGGCCCCTCTTCTTGCCGAGAGCCGCCGCGAGGGGCAGCCCCGCTCGCCCCGGTGCCCCGGGTGAGGCGCGACAGGGCCCGCGGAGCGGACACCGCTGGTGGGACCGTGGTTTCGGGGCGCCTGAGCCCCTGCGAGGCGACGGGCTGCTTGTTCCCAAGCAAAAGCGTGGAAATGGCCCCTTTCCCATGGCGTTTGCCCACCAGGGAGTTGGCTGCAGTGCTGTGTTGCGGAGGGGGACCCTGTCCCGCACCCCGTCGGTGCTTCAGGCGCTCTGCTGATGCACACAACGGTTCTTTCGCAGAAAACGGGTTCAAAAGCAGGGGGACAGAGGCTCCAGCATGCAGCTGGATGATGCCGGTAATGGTATCCCGTTGGACTAGTGCCCTCCCTGTGCGCGGAGCCTGCCAGGTCTCCGGGGAAGGAGCGCGCTCCTCGCCCGCCCGCGGTTTATGGCTCCCGTGTGCTGACCCGGCTGCTCCTCCCTGGGCACGGGCAGGGCGAGCGTCCGCTGGGGTCCCGCGAGCAGCGGGTACAGGAGCGCGCAGGGGAGCTCTGCCGTGGTAATGCTGCAAGGTGGGATGAGCAGCCAGGCCTTACCACACAGCAGAAAGTTGTTATTTGGGTTTTTTTGGGTGGGGGGGAGGCAAACTGGCTGTTACTCCCTTTCCCTCCAGTGTCCCCATCCACCTCTTTATTTCCCTAAACAGGGAGCACTGTGTTGCAGTCATCAACACCTGTGTGGGTTCAGACTGTGGGGCTGGTCCTGCCCTTTGACTTGGATGAGGCTGTTTCTGCTGTAGGGTTAATTGGCAGGGAAGCAGGTACTAGGGATCGGAGCCTAGGAAGGGCGAAGGGGAGATTTTCAGCAATATTGATGTGCGCTTGTGGCTACCAGGAGCAGAGTCAAGGGGTGGTCTTCTCTTTTGGATACTGTTTGGCTCCCTGACCACCGGATGGATGAGGCTGCTTGGAAGAGAGGGGCACATGGTCCAGCAAAACATCAGGTGAACGTGAACATTGCTCTGACCATGAAACCAGACCGTCGTCGCTGCCAAACCTGAGTCACCAACACTCTAATACAGCTCATGTTTGGCTTCCTCGTGTGCCTACCTCTCTTGAGCAGGAACATCCTAGTATTGCTTTCCTATTTAGCCTTCAAAGCCTTATCCCTCTTTCTGAGCATGTGTCTGTGCCAAATATTTTTAGCTGCTAGATTCATCCCAGAACGCCTTGTGCTAAGACAAGAATCCGCATAGCAGCAGCTCTAAAGGAGTCGGAGCCAATGGCAAAGGTGCCCACGCTGGGACCACCAGAGCAAAAATGAGTGGGAAAATCAGGAAAGGAAACCATCAGGAATAGAAAACCATCAGACAAAGAGAAATGGCTCAAGCATGGCCATGGAGCAGGGCGAACTCAGCAGGTTCCCCAAAACAGCTTTGGTATTATATCACAGGGTGGAGGGGGTCGTTGTTCATCAGATAGAGTCTGTTGGCCTGGTGCTGCTGAAAATCTCCTGTCCAGGTGTTTTTCTGTAAAGTTTGCTCACAGAAGGGGGCTTTGGAGCTCCCTCAGATTCCTAACGCTGCCCCTCTTGTTTTGCAGGAACAGAGGAAGTGGTCTACGGGGAGGTTGGAGGCAGCATCCTCCTTTTGTGCCGAAATGTCTCCAAAGCAGCCACTGAAGTGGTTTGGTTTCAAGGGGATCCCCACTCGGTCCCCCCGCTCTTCTCCTCGATAGTCACATTCCCCCAAGACGTCCGGTTCTCCCTGGTTGACAACAGCTCTCTGCACATCACAGAACTGCGTCGGCAAGATGAAGGCAACTACACTTGCAAGGAAGTGCTCAACAAAACAGACCATGAACACAGAGTCCAGCTCCTGGTAGCCAGTAAGTCTGTCCTGTGTCTGAGAATTTCTCCTTTGATTCTCACAGGTCCCCAGGATTGTAAAGAGTCTGGTGCCAGTAAAAAAAATAGTCAGTGAAAGGGGAAGGTGGTACCAAACCTATGGTGATTTGGTTTTACTCCCACACTCACAAGCATTAAGGCCAATTGTCCAAGTGGCCTGGCAAGAATCACTTGTGTGTGACGCTCAGGACAGGAGACCCCAGCTGCTCAGTCCTTGCTACATCTCTCCAGTTCTTCTTGATTGGAGACAATAAACTAGGTTTGGGCAGATTTTTGTATATCCTATAGCTGTTCTGAGATGGCCCTTCACCTCAGAATTCAGCTGGCATCAGTCTTCCTAAATCTTGGACCTTGGGCAGCATCCTGACCTGTTTTCCCTCACTGGAATGTTTGAAATAGATGCCTAGAATCTTTTCTCCTGTTGAGCTAATGGGAAAAGAAGCAGAATACATGTTATGCTGCAGATTTGTCCCATCCTCCTGGTGTGAGTATGGAGGATCTCCTGCTGACCAACTGCATCTTACAGAGTACAACCTTCAGTCTCAACACAAATGTTGTATTCCTCAGATTTGTTGCTAGGAGCCCTATCCTGGGAGCACTACTCTGGGAACGTGTTTGTTGTTATCAGCATGGGCCATTTTTTAACCTTTATTCTGACATTTCTTCTGGTGCTGACACACATTTCATTCATTCTCTTACAAATCTTTACAGGATGGGTGGAGGATCAGG